AGGGGGGGGGGGCCCCCCCCCCCCCCACCCTGCCCCACCGAGACTTCCGCCACTGGGCACACTTGGGAAAGTAACTCTGAAAATGTTGCAAATATACATTCGAAATTTTATTTGGTCAGGAGGAGTTGATGATGTCGTAAGGTATCACATTTGCGTTTTAGAAAACTTTACATTTCTGGGGGAAATGATGCAAAAATTACGTTTCTCTGAATATTTTACGAATTACTGACATACTATGGCGCTATAACTATGCCTATGGGCAATCAATCAGCCTCTGTCATTGATGTACTGTAGATCTTTTAGCCTATCACAGCGGCGATATTTTGTAGGTTATTTTGTCACAAAATTAGTTGATTGATTACTTCTGCTTACCTAGTTTATGTATGGTAGATTTTGAACCAAGGGGGTTGCACACCTCGAGGTCATCGTAAAATATCATAAGCTGCAATGCTTTTGGACACATTGAAAATAAGGGGTGTTTCCTGAACGTTTCTCCATCGCAGAAATCCCTCAACAGTCCATTGTCACTTTGATGAGTTGTGTCAATCTTTAAAAGAAAATTACAGGCTACAAGAAACTTTGAAAGCTGAAAGTTGAAACACGAGGTGAAATAGGGTGAATCATACCTCTTCAAGAACCGATGAGTCATTAAGAAGTTGCTCCAGGCTTTCCAGCAAAGGAACATAATATGCCTCTTCATTTACTACCACCATTTTTAATGTTCGCCCTTTTCGCCACTGTTTGTTTCTTTGGCCAAGTACAATCCGTCGAGGTTCCTAGAATAAAAGTAACTTATGATAAAATTGGTGTATTTTGATTCATTTAAATAAAATAACTTCAGTTAAATTAAAAAATTATTTGAATAAAACCGGTCGATACCTTCAGACCAAAGTTTTCCTTGTAGTAGGTCACTCTTTTCTTGTCAGTGTCAAGGTTTTCAAATACATTTATAACCGAGTTTTCTGTACTGAGCAGGTTTTCCAAGCCAGTCACTGCGTGAACATCAATATCATTATCTTGCACACACTTTTCGACCTGCCCCTGCAGGTTGGACACGACTTCTTCAATAATGGTTCTCGTGTTAGCAACCACACTGTCAACCGTTGCCTTTGGTAATCGGCAGACCTCCTGAAGATTAAGGAGATACAACGCTCCAGACTTCTTAATTTGGTTTCTGGGTATTTGGTCGCCTAATTGTTGATGGCCGGCGTCTTCATCGGGCAAATCATTGTTATTAAACGCGTTGGCATCGCCAGCTCCCCCAATGTTAGCGTCATCAATGTTTTCGACATTCGTATGAATACGTTTGATGTGCTTTCGCCAAGTGAAGTATTTTCTAAATGTCAACGTGCACCCATTAATCCCACACAAGCAGTGGAAATTTGGATCGTTTCTATGCTGTGCTCCAATATGACGGAAAAGTTCCTTAATACTTCTCGCCAAAAATGACCCACAGACGCTACAATTATAAGGCATTTGTGGCTTGTGCGGGCCACTCGCCTTTAAGCCTTATATAGGCTATAAGCGACTAAGGTTAGAACACTAAGTTTTATTCCCAAATTATCGTATAAGGTATGCATTGTTTAATCCATGTTGCGTGTTGCCTGTATCTGACAGATTTGTCAGTTTTATATATGATGCCGTGCAGGCATGCCCGATTCTCACTTTGTCAGAACTACAACATTTACCATGTAAAGCTCATGCAGACTGGCTAAAACGTCTCCTATTTCGTTTTATTGTGTGCTTTTAATAATTATTGCCTATTCATGACCCAAAAGAGTCACTGAAACCACCAAATTTGTGATCGTGATACGCTTAATATAATCGTGACTTTGTTATTTTGAACTGATCACAAGAAACGCCTTATTTTCGCCCACTGGCCGTATCGTATACTATTAAAAATGTAGGGACGTCACGACGCGGTTGAAAGTGTCTTGTGGAGAGTGCGTGATTTTATTTAGGACCAATTAACATTTCTCTCTCTCTCTCTATGTATATATATATATATATATATCACAGTGCATATGTTCAAATCACAAGTCAATCTCCCGTCCATCTTCCTGACCATTTTGTGTAGTGTATATCTCATCCAAAATGTTATTACTTTTTTCTCGCATGTAATTGTTTAAATTTGAATTGAAATAATTCTTCACGTGCTGAAGTTTTGAGTTGACACGACTTGAAACAGAACGTTGAGGTGGCACGCCTTGCGAGTGGAGAAATTTCAATTTAATTAGAACAATTTCAATTTAATTAAGAGCAACTAGTACCTATCTTGGAATAAATTTTGTGCTGTGCTGAAGTTTTGGGTTGTCTCGACCTGAAACAGAACGTGAGGCGGCGCGCCTTGCGAAGGTTACAATCTTAGTTCCTTGTAGGTTCTGCTTGCATGCCTAAAAGGCAAAATGATGCATGTGGAAAATCCTCGCTGAAATAAAATTAGGCTCAAAAATATAAAATCGGTGAAATATTCTACACCTAATGCGAAGGAAATAAACAAAAATAATTTAGGCAAGTTTACAACAAGTTGTATAAACAAGCACATGCATATAAAATTAAAATTAAAGCATTATCATGCAAAATTGTGATGTTATATTTAACAAATAGCCTATAAAACATTTTCTGTGTTGATATGCAGTTTTTTCAACAAGAGTGGAAATTGGTTAAACGAGAAAGTGTGTGGAAACACGGCGCCCGAAGGGCGGAGTGTTTTCACACAATTTCGAGTTTTCCCAATTTCCACAAGTGCATGATATAACTATATATCAATACGGGAAAAAATGTTTTATATTTGTTTTATAATATAGCACAAAAAATGAGAAAGAGTAAGAAAGAAATTTTCCAACGTTTCTGTGTTGACATTGACACGGCTCTTAGCCAATCAGCGTTCAGAATTTACAAATGCTATATTATAAGACAAATATAAAACATTTTTCCGTATTGAAATAAAGTTATATCAACATTCATGGAAATTGAGAAAACTCGAAATTGTGTGAAAACACTCCGCCCTTCGGGGGTCGTGTTTCCACACAATTTCTCGTTCTCCCAATTTCCATTTGTGTTGATATAATTGTATATCAACACAGAAAATGTTTTATATTTGTTAACTAGGACACAAACGAAACTGACCCAAAAAGCAAAGAAAGCCAAACAAAAAGATATAAATCAAGACCTCATTCCAAAATTGAAAAGTCGTTGCAGAAAAAGGCCAGACGTAAACGGAAAAAGCAACTCATTGTGGGAAAAAAAATGGAATCCCTTGTTGCACAACATGAAAGTGAACGAAACAAATTGGTGCGTGATCAACTAGTGACATACAAACAAAAAACCGATGCTGAGAAGATCCATAATTTGCATTTAGAAGTGTTATTAGATAAATGTCGAAACAACAAGTGCATTGCTAAAACAAAGAAGATGAGCCACACTAACAAGTGTGGAAATTTTTCGGGGCAACAAAGCGCGAACAGAAAAAAAATTCCAAATAATGTTAGTCTCGATGAAATAGAATTTATCGTTAAGGGATCTCAAAGAATAGTTCTGGGAGGTTGTTTTGGCAAATGTTTTTTGGCAAAATTGAAGCGAAATGGTACTTTAGTCACAGTAAAGATCGGTCAAAAGTCCGGAGGCCGTTACAGTGATTCACTGAAAAAAGAAGCCGAAATACTCTCACAGTTGTGCCATCCAAACATACCGTTCTTTTTTGGCATTACGGAGGGAAAATCGCCTGCATTGATCATCAAGTTTCATGGAGACATTGCCAAACTAAACTCTCTCACTGTATCATCACAAGCTCGTTATAAACATTTAAGCATTTCTTCTTCAGAGTGGTTTGAAATCATGAACTGCATTTGCAACGCACTAGCATACATACACCAAATTGGAATCTTACACAACGACATTAAGGCTAACAACGTTTTGTTGTCATTAAAGGCAGATAAATGGTCGCCTATGATTATAGATTTTGGCAAGGCAACTTACATAAACGATAGAGATAAATACCCCCAATTCAATGAAGCTCAGATTCAAAAGTACAAGGACAATTATCCACATATTGCCCCAGAGTTGTATATACAAAACGTAGAAAAATCTGTTTGTAGCGATGTTTATTCTTACGGGTGGATGTTGAAAGGTTTGCAGGATTGCTTTCCGGGAAGAAATATCAAACATATTTTTGAAAAATGTCTTCACAGTTGTCCATCACAAAGACCATTATGTATGTTAGCAGTGAAAGAAATGCTCAACAATGTATAAAACATTAAAGTTATTATATTTTTAGTTATGGGTAATTAAATTGATGGGTGGCCCTCCTCACTGATCTAAAAAATATGGCTGTTTGCTAGGAGTAGGATAAGCAAGATTTCAATTTTCAAAAGCATATATTTGGAAAATCACGTTTCACACAATGAGCTTTGAAGCAATTTTTGTTTGAAGAAATGAGAAGAATTGATTTACTATGGGAATCGTGAAATATAGTGCAAGTTTGCTTTGAAAGTTTAATGTTTATGAATTTTGTTGCTTTTAATAGTTTCTTGCGTATCAAAAGTACATGTAGCTTTCCTTTTCAGTCAAGCTGTAAATTTCCTAAATTACCTTGTTTAATTTAAGAAAAAAAGGTAAAATGTAAAGGAGAGCAAATTAATTGAAGACTTAACTGAAATAAACTGGCTTCATGGTACTGCTTCGCATACAGGCTAGTTTCTGTGTTTTATACACGCCTTATCAGTGCAGCTTAGTATATAAATGCGGGTCTGTAAATAGTGATGACAACCGTATTCAGCGCAGACCTAGTCAATTAAAGCTGTCAAAAACACCCTGACCTATAAGTGCAAAAAGCACCGTGGATATATATGCATCAAGCATGCACTATAATTCACACACACCGCTACACGGTAGTTTCCACAAACCTAAAATTATATATTGTTTATTATCATCCAAACATTCAAAGAACTTATATAACAACTATAATAATAAAACGCCCATTGTGCTTTTCTTGGTTTTGACTTCAGACGCTTAATGTGTCTAAACAATGCGTCGATCTAGACAAAGTGTAATAAAATCAGAGTCAAATGACCACATGCAAGGGTGCTTAAGAAGAGTGCTCAATAACACGGAAGCGTATATATATATTGCTGGATTTGCATGCATGTGATTGTTGTTTCATGGTTTTAGGCCTAACGTATTGTATAAAGCGATGTTTGTAATTTAGAGTGAACCACAATTAGTAGATGACGACAGTGATGAGGATGGAATAGACAGCAACGAAGAAATCACTAGGGAATCTCCGCCAATGACACCCAGAATGAAAAACGATAGCTCTACGACACCTCCCGCGCGTTCACCCTTTACGTTTGGGGAAACGGTCAACAAGACTGTTCTTGATAATTTCGATATTTCTGAAATCAAGGTAACTACTAACTAGTTATACTACCCATACAGCCGGCCCTTCTCAGAATTTTTCTTCACAGAAAGAATGTGATTAAAAACAAATAATATTACGTTGAACATCTTTTTTGTAGTTCTCTCCAGCAGTGTTACATGAACTGCAGAACAAATGTCTAATGTGCACTCTACGCAGCGAATTTATTCGTGATATCTGTACCAACCTGTTGGCACGAGGAGTACACTATTTAAAGAAAAAAGATCGCGATGCGATTGCTTTACAAATAGTGTTGCGTCACCCGCACTTAAAAGACCCAATCGGAAGTGGTCTGGTATGTATAGAAATATGTATTCTACCTTATCGTGCCTTAACTTACCATATCTTACTTTCCTGTATTCCTTAAATGTCACCACCTTACTTGTCACCTTATTACCATACCTCACTTCACCTATATACTTGCCTTCTCTTTCCTTGTGTATCTTTCCTCGCTTTAGCTTTCAGAATGCATACACCTTGTTATACAATATCCGCCTCTCCTTAATAGCTACATCTGCACTTGTATCTTACATCTAATATGCCATAAAGTTAGCTTCCATATAATTATCTTCAAAGACAGAACGCCGTTTTTAAATGTTATTTCATCACATTAATTATTTTACATCTTTGGTCTTTCTTTAAATTCAAAACACATTTTAGGGATCGTGGTCGGAATCAATCCTGAATCGCATGAAGCATGTGCGAAAGTATGATGCAAAAAAACGTAAGTTGGCAGAATCGTCATCTCTTTCAGTCTCGTACGAGGAAAATAAAACCAAGGCTGCAAGAAAGACCAGCGAAATAAATCGTCGAGATTTCTGGAAAAAGGTTCCAAATGTCTCAAGTGTCGCGCCAGAAGTGCACTCCGACCATATTTTGGCCCTCAGAAAAGAGACAGGCTTCAGCAAACCTGATCAGCGAAAATTACGGGAGTTGATGAAGTCGACGTATGAATTGAGACGAAAGAATATCTTGGGTAACGTGATTCTCATCAAAGAAATTATAAGGGAATATCCACCATTGTCAACATGTGCTGGTGTAAGTATAAGCAAAATCATAATTTTCATGCGCGTCAAGTATACTATACAACCCTTCATCCACTGGAGGAGAGTTCTGGATTTAAAGGGTATGAGCAACAAAAAAATTTATTGCTTCATCTGAAAGAGCATGAAAAAATAAGCCGATTAGCCGTTTAATGCTCTATTCTATCTCATCTGGTTCCGAAGTTATACGCAAAAATGTGCAAAATATAAATTGCTGATTCAGCACAACGTGTGACGTCATTAGTTGGGTAAGTATGTTTATTGAATAGTAAACTGAAGCATAGCTCAGTTATTATTGGCCCAAATGTACAATCAGGATGCAAAATTTCATTTGATTTGGGCCCATAATAACTGAGCTATGCTTCAGTTTAGTATTCACTAAACACACTTACCCAACTAATGACGTCACAAGCTGTGCTGAATCAGCAATTTATATTTTACACATTTTTGCGCATAACTTCGGAACTAGATGAGATAGAATAGAGCATTAAACAACCAATCGGCTTATTTTTTCATGCTCTTTCAGATTGTTGCTCATACCCTTAGTATATGATTATGCGAGTAGTGGCTAATTCGCGTCTCGCGGTCCGTTGTCTGTTTCATCGTGCAAAGCAGAATATATGGCGTGCATGGCTCTATGGCGCGAATTCCGTACTCAGTCTTAAATCTGAAGTTCTCTATTCCCTCAATGGATGTAACAAATTGTATCGTAGCAAGCTTGAAGTAACTAAAAACTAAGTTTGCTCTATGTCAATATGAATTGCATGCATGGCCATTTCGTGAATCAAAACAATTTTCTTATTCATCTATTTCTTTTAGATATGTCAGGAATTTGGAAGAATAATGAAGAACGAAAATTTAGTAAGCGAAGAAAAACAAATATTTTCCGATAATTATGCTGAACCCATTGTGAAGTATGCAAGACAGCTCCAAAGAAAGCAATCGATGCTCAAAAATAGCCTGGCTTCGCTTGACGGTTGTGTTGCAAAAGAAGCAAATAAGAAAAAAGGTATATATTGAATTAAATTACTGTGAAATTTTAGAAATGCATTCATTGCAACGTATTATATGCATATTTCCTTGTCCCTCTCTTTTAAAGCAATTGAAATGCTGTTTTTTGTTTATCATGCATGCATGCAAATTATATTCCGGATTATATGCCCTAATTTTGGCTAAATTTTCTTAAGATGCGATTAAGATTAATTAGCTACTTTACTTGAGAAAACGACCGGTTACCTTCATTTTTTATCTTTTGCAATAGAATATCTGACCGAGGTTAAAGGGAAATGGCAATATAAATTTTTATTTTCGCATTTGAAAGAACTTTTGAAACTATTTTTCATATTTTGCTTTATAGTTCTTGAAATATTTTCTTTTGAAGTAATGAGATATGTCCGCCGTCTTGGATACATTTTTTTCGGACGTTTTGGTGACGTCACGACAGGGATTAACCATATAAAAGTATTCGTTGCTGACCAAATATTAATTGGTAAATGTTTCCAAGGTTTTAGGTGATTTTGATATTTTGAAGGGCATGAGATAAAGTATAGTTCCCAGTTCAAAATGATTAGTGTATGCATGGTTGTCCAGATAAAAATATTGTGTGACCCCTGTTGTGACGTGACATGCATATCTACAAAAATTGAAGATAGCAGAAATTTCATTCCATTCGATCAAAATAGTTGTAGAAGTAAGCAAAATATGAAAAAAACACACGATAAAAGAGCATTACATTTAGTCTTAAAAGTTTTTTCAAATGAGAAAATAAAACAATATATTGCCATTTCCCTCTACAGTTGCTTTCACGAAACTTTGGCCACACCAGTTGCGAGATCGATTGGGAATTTGGGAACTATAAACACGAGATCATCAAGTTGATTGGAAACCGGCCAATCAAATTCGGAAATTTCGCATCAAATTATCGAAATTCGTTATGAAATTCCGAACCAAGTTCGCAAGCAAGTTCGCAAATTGCAAACGATTTTGACGGTAAATTTTAAAAACTAAACGTATTGTATTAAACTTATTCATTTAATAATAAATAGTATCATAATAATAATAATTTCAGGTTTAAAATTATAATAAGTTTAATTAATACAATAAATTGAGTTTTTAAAATTTACCGTCAAAATCGTTTGCAATTTGCGAACTTGCTTGGGAACTTGGTTCGGAATTTCATAACGAATTTCGATAATTTGATGCGAAACGTTCGAATTTGATTGGCCGGTTTTCAATCAACTTGATGATCTCGTGTTTATAGTTCCCAAATTCCCAACCAACCTCGCAATTGGCGTGGCTAAAGTTTCGTGAAATAAACTGTAAGAAAAGTTTGTAGTGTAGGGCCAAAAGAAAAGTTTGTAGTGTAGGACATGATTGTTAATTTTCTAAAATTTGGCTAGCCCAAGATCATCTATATTGTGCTTTAGGAAAATGTTTTATGAAATAAGAAATGGGAGTAACCAGGCGTTTTTTTTTCACGTAAAATGCAATAAAACCCAAAATATCGGTGTTGCCATAGCAATAGTGGTGAGGTCATTTATACGACCAATTTCCAATTCTTAGACAGTTAGACTGTTGCTTTATCAAATTTATATAATTCTTAGATTGTGCATACTATTTGTGTCGAAACTAATTGAATTATATATTATTCTCTTCTGTTGATATACAGCATTCCAAGAAGCTTGTGCAGCAATAATACTACCCAATTTGCTCAAGTGCAGAGGATTTGCGAAGCATGATGATTCCATAATTGAATTTACGACTGTAAGTATAATTAAACAAGTTAAGATACCTCGCTCCCCAGTTACAGGTAGCGTTAAAAAGAAAATGTATATGATCAAAAGAGGAAAATACACACGAAATCACGGTACCCATACTCCTATTTCACTACCCGTGAATGGGAACCGGGTAACTTTAGCTCTATATTATGTTAACGAAGCTGTTTGGGGGTTTACGACATGTGAATACACCTGGAATTTAAATAACCGTTTATTCTACATTGAAATTGTTACTCATGTTCCACGCCTTGACTAGCTTAATTGGGATAGCTGTCATCAATTACGACTATTAAACTGGTCCTCATGCAAGATGTCGTTATATGTCAAAAATTGCTTATAGCCATTTATTCCATTTCACTGTTTAACTTAAAAAAGTTATGATGCATTTAACATTTTAGGATGATCCAGACTCGGAAATAGACCTGCAAAGATCATCCAAGTTCCCCAAATTGGTCCTTGGAGCAGGGGACGAAATATGTGACGTCAAGTCTGCTTTCATCTGCGCTGAAGGGGAAAAGATTGTCATGTTTGGAGAAGCCGTGACAATTGACAGCGCCATCCTCACACTCCACGCGGTCTACTATGTTTTCAACATATCTTACCCTCCAAAATGGAAAGACTTTTTCTTCTTCATTGATACTATTTTGTGTGGCATTAAAGATGCTGCGGCGAAAAGAATTTCGCTGCAAAATTTTATATCACAGCTTCATGCATGATTCTATATAATATTCATGATGCTTGATATATAATTTTGTGAGGTGGTTTTATGCATGCACGTTGCTATAGCTTTGATGATCTAACCGAACATAAACATATTGTGAAAACCAAGATATATTCATTGAGTATATAATAAATTTCTTACTCAAGGCAGCTGAGCGGATTTCCCAACAGGGCTATATTGCCATATTGATAGGGAATCGGAGGTACCTGCTGACATCAATGTAAAGGTAGATCTTTCTCCTCAATTATTGCAAGACCTTAAGTATAGTGCATGGTCCAACCAAGGATTGAACCCGTGGGTTCTAGCTTGCACAACACAACATAAGCTGGTATTATGCATGAATACCGGTAATAAAGTCTTGTTTTAATCCACATCTTGGGATTTTCAATATTTGTATCTTGGTTCCTTTTTAATTTGTTGTGACCGGTATTGTTTAAATGTTTTATACTGCATGCATGGTTTTATTAATTGCACTGTATTTGATTGCATGATTATATTGTATTAGATGTAGTTTAAGTAATAACCAATTCACTTATGAAATTCTCAAATATAGCATTTATTGATTGTTATTTGAGTGATATGTTTATTATGTTGAATTAAGGCGATTCGTGCAAGTAATGCATACGCATCATTTGCGCATGCTAATTTGCCAATTATTGCACCCCTTGCAGTGTTGTTTTGGGGAATACAAGTTACCCATATTTTTCTATGGGGTAAAAATTACTCCCGTAAGAGACGTGTAAAAATTACTCCTATTTTTCTATGGGGTAAAAATTACTCGCGTAAGATCGGTGTAAAAATTACCCTTATTTTCATATGGGGTAAAAATTACTCCCGTAAGAGAAGTGTAAAAATTACCCCTATTTTTATAGGGTAAAAATTACTCCTTAAGAGTGGTGTAAAAATTACTCCCACGGAACGGGTAGAAATTACCCCATTTTGAGAGGGGTAACAATCACCCGAAAAAATCGGGGCGTTCATTGGAAACCATATTACCCCATATTTTGGGGCAATTTTTACTCCCTGAAATTTACAGTGTAGCTAACATGCAATGAATTAATGAATACCTTGTTTAAATAATATAAATATAAATAACTTAATAAAGTCTAATAGCTTGTATAAACTATGTAAAACACAGCCATAGTGGAGACTCTTGTGCTGTCAAGATGAATCGTCTTTCGGCAGCAGGTTGTCAAGATATTGTGTCTTTCGGCAACCAGTTCAATCTTAACTGTGTTTTTAACTAACAGAGTTATAAAAATATATTATTAACAAATTTACTATTATTAATAAAATGCAGTATAATTACTTAGTGTTAAAATTGAATACAACACTATTAAAATTATCAAATCAATAATAATATAGTATATAAAGTTATCAATTTTTAATAGTCTACTGCACTGGACAAAAATTAATATCACAAGTGGCCCAGCTAGATGGCAAAGCTACTCTATATATGGATGTGCACAGTAGACATTGAATAGCTATCCAGATCTAATGGAACATGAAATATGTTTGAATAGTATTGAAATGTAAGTGGGCTCTCGCCGTTCTGAGGATAAGTCCTACATATTTTAATAATAAAGAGCACTAAAATGAGTGAATACAGTGTATACCAAACATACTGTAAGATGTAAATATTTGTATCATATGAAATTGATTCTTCAATTAATTAAATGTATTAAAATAAGTGGAGACAAGGCCATAACAAGCGTTCTTGTCTCCACAGTCTTGTTTGTGTTTGGTTCTTGGTAAAAATTATAGAATGTACGTATTGCAGTTGATTTTAAAAGTCTTAAAAGGGAATAAAAGTAATGTATCTGGTTGGCTCACTTTTCATAGCAACTCTCAGCAGGTAAGACTATGATTTTTAATACTCCCAGAAATTTGTGAGTAAATCTATTTGGGCTATTGCCATTGTTAGAATCAGTATAAACACAAGCTAGAATCCTTCCTAATACTGGCTTTCAATGGCAGTATTAATGTTATTTATAGTGACTGTAAAATATAGAAATATAAACAAAGCAAAACTATAAAACCGTAAAGGCTATACTAGGAAAACAGTACCAATAAATAGAATACAAACCTTTAAACGAACTATAACTACGATCGGTATTAATACAGAAACAGTTTCTTGCCAATCTTCAATTTAATACCATACAGTATATAAAATAAACACCACTCTCTTCCGACGCCATGTTAAAAAAAAAAGACGGAAATTGTACGCCTAAATTCACTACTTTCACAAAAGGCACTGGAAACTAATAACTTTTTGTCCCAGTCATTAATGCACCTGAGTAATAAGGTGGTAATTGCTTCTGTTTATACAATTATATTGTGCAAACATATATTCCACAAGATCTGTATTCCTAATTGTTCTGAAACTCAACTATATTGTGCAGTATTTCATGCTCTTTCTAATGACATACAGCAAATTGGGGGTACAAGCTCACCAACATCCATTATATATGACATTAATGTAGCACAATCGTTTAAAACTGGCTGTGTTAAATGTCACTCAATCGTGTCGTCCTTTGTCGAGCATTGTAGATAAAATGTGTTGTAATTGATGTAAATGTTTAGTTTAAGGACCCTGTGAATGGGGCAATAAGCCCTGTAGGGATCACCAATCATTAATGACAAAGCTAGTAAATAAACAAAATGGCAAGGATTAATAAGGTGCTTATTGCTTTAATTTGTTTATAGAATTACACTCATTTCTTTTGTTTATATATTAAATGTTAGACAATAGAATTACACTGTGCTAACATCTATATTCAGCAAGCGTTTGTACAAAATCGGCCTCCCTAATTGTTTCGAAACTCAACTATATGGTGCAGGAGTTTGCATTGCTCATGTTACTGCTAATTTAAAGTAACAAATACCTTAAAAGTAGCCAGAAAAGGGGTTCAAATAATCTACTTTTTAATAATTGAATACAGTTGAATGTGAGGCCGAATCTGGGGCCCAATCTGTGGCTACCTTCACAGTGCTAAAATGATTATTATCTCTAAGCGAAGGCATGGCTGCAAATCTACTTACAAAATTTTGAACATTCAACCAGGGCGCTAGAAACCTACTTAATATAGTCTAGTGTAGATCCTTGACCCGAACTCAAAAACGGAAGCCGTCTCAAATTTCAACACTTTGATTTATGAGATATATGTCTCCCTTGGATGCCTCAAAATTTCTCCCATTTATACACTTAGTCGTCTATTTCCCTTACATATAATAGAGTTCAAACATGACGCCCCTATACAGTAAATCTACCCAACTGAATTGGTGTTATTACAGTAAGAAACTGCTGCTTGTAGAAATAAAAGCCTACAATGAAGACTTTTCTGTCAACGCAGCGCAATAAGTTCAGCAAAATTAATTTTTAGTACCTCGAACATGTCTGTCAAATGTGATATTTTGCCCAATACTTTGAATTACGTTTCCCACATGAGAACTGCATTGTGAGATATCATATATTTATGTTATATTTTTATTTATTGCCTCGAACATGTCTGTCAAATGCGTTTAAATATATTTTGCCAAATACTTTGAATTACCTTTCCCACATGAGAACCACATTGTGAGATATCATATATTCATATTATATTTTTATTTATTACCTCCAACATGTCTGCCAAATGCGTTTTAATATATTTTGCCAAATACTTTAAATTGCGTTTCCGACATGAGAACCGCAACGTGAAATATCATATATTCATATTATATTTTTATTTATTATGTCCAACATGTCTGTCAAATGCGTTTAAATATATTAACGTCGAACATGCCTGTCAAATGTGTTTAAATATATATTTTGTCAAATACTTTAAATAGAAAAGAGAGCAAAAAGAAAGTTGGAACGTAAGTTCCGATTATCTAATTCACCTGAAGATATTCGTCAGTTCAACGAGCACTCAGAGTATTATAGTCACTTGCTAGTTACAACGAGACAGAAATTTTACACAGATAAGATTGAGGCAAATTATGGTGATCAGAAAGTACTATTCCAAGTGTTAGATAAACTTTTACACCGTGAGAATCAACGTCAATTTCCACCGCATGATAATCTTGATGATCTTACAAATATGTTTGCGGATTTTTTTGTCCGGAAAATTGATACAATTCGCTCTCAACTACATTTGGCTACTGTCGATAATCTGCTAGGATTTGAATCTTCCTGTGAGACCGTTGAAAAGTTGGAATATTTTAGTTCAGTTTCTGAGCATCAGATTGAAAACATTATTCGGTTAACTAACAACAAATCATGTGAACTTGATCCAATTCCAACTTGGCTCTTGAAGCAATGTATTCCTGCCTTACTCCCGATTATAACAAAAATTGTTAACCTGTCGTTGCATGATGCATTCGTGCCTACCCTGTTCAAAAAAGCCTTTTTGACACCAATACTGAAGAATATTTCCCTCAGCACAGATGAAGAAAACAGTTTCAGACCAATATCTAATCTTTCTTATGTCTCAAAATTAATTGAGAAAGTGGTGGATACCCAATTAACAAATCATATTCAGGAACATAATTTAGATGAAAGCTTACAATCGGCTTATAAGAAACACCATTCTACTGAAACTGCCTGGGTTCGGCTACACAATGATATTTTATCTGAGTTGGATGACAATAAAACTGTACTGTTGGTTAGCCTTGATGTGAGTGCTGCATTTGATACCATTGATCATAGTATTTTGTTGCGTCTGCTCGAAAGTCGGTTGGGTGTCTCTGGGCAGTGTTTGAATTGGTTTCGTTCCTATCTCAGCGACCGTACAACAAGAGTTATTATTGATGGAAAACGTTCAGATATAAAACGTGTAAACTTTGGTGTCCCCCAGGGATCTGTCCTTGGCCCAAAACTTTTTACACTATACATATTGCCACTGGGAGATATTGCACGCAAACACAATGTACAGTTTCATATATATGCTGATGATTGCCAACTATACATATCCTTTAAGTATGAAAATAGATTGGAAACCATTGATAGAATGGAATCTCTGATGCATGACATAAAAACTTGGATGACAAAGAACATGGTGAAGCTCAATGATGATAAAACAAAGTTCCTGGTTTTGACAGGTCCTCGTCGAGACTGCTCTGATTTTCCTTGCTTGTCAATCGAAAACGAAAGTATTGTTAAATCAGAATCAGTAACTCTCTTAGGAGTAGAACTTGATGACAAGCTTACCTTAAAGAGTCATGTTCGTAATGTTGCGAAAAGTTGTTTTTTCAAGCTCCGCAATATGCGTAAGATTAGAAAATGTATTACTGAAGATGCAGCAAAAATAATGGTACACAGTATGATTACATCAAGGCTTGACTATTGTAATGCTATCCTATATGGGTTACCAAATTGTGACTTGGACAGGTTATATAGTGTGCAAAAGCTGGCTGCACGATTAATCACAGGAACAAGAAAGTACGACCATATTACACCGGTATTGGAAAGACTCCACTGGTTACCAGTGAAAAAGAGAATAGAGTACAAAATTCTGTTACTTGTGTTTAAATGTCTCCAAGGAACTGCACCAGAGTACTTATCTGAACTGTTAAAAAAGCGTGAAAACAAAGGCACTAGAGCAGATGACAAAAACCTTTTGGTTATTCCTAGGTTTAAGAAGGTTACCCAAGGTGGACGATGTTTTGGAAGATCTGGCCCAACACTATGGAACAATTTACCAGACAGCTTGAGACTTGAGACGAGTTTTAGCATTTTTAAAAGACGTTTAAAAACGCACTTTTTTGAACTTTCTTACAAGTAAATTAGGTCTAGGTCACATTTTTAAACTTTTTAAACTTTTTTACTAGTAAATTAGGTTTTGTCCATATTTTTAATGTGGTATGAATGTAAAGCGCCTTAGAGAACTGTAGATTTGGCGCTATAGAAATTCTGTGTATTATTATTATTATTATAATTACGTTTCCCACACGAGAACCGCAATGTTAGATATAACATTATATTTTTATACACATACTATAGTTGGCTAAAGTGTATGTAAGTAATAATAAAATATAGCAATGTAATATCTAATATAAGCATCCTACACCGAATGACACCCCGTGACCATCATACACCATCTTCACCATCTGACAGCCCTTCCCTGTATAACCACCCTACACGCTTCGACCATCATACACCATCTAACAACCATCTGACACATTTCGACCATCATACACTATCTGTACCATCTGACAACCCTTCCCTGTCTAACCACCCTACACCATCATACACCATCTGACACACTTCGACCATCATGACACACACAGAGCAGTACTTCGACTTTTGGAAAATTATTTCCTTCTCTGTAGATCAAAATTTTTCAAATGTTTTCACACAAAGTTATTTCAATGTGGAAAACGGCTGGTCAGAAGCATTGGCCAGAATCTACAAAAGAATTTATTGTTAACAATTAACATGTTGTCTACTATTGACTTTTGGAATTATTTATTTATTTTCACATCCAAAAAAGGGGAAAATATGAAAAGGGACCTTACACTGGGGAGGGGGACAAAATTGCCGACTGGGGGGGGGGGAGAGGAAGAGGACTGGGGAACATGTCCTCCCCCAGTCTATATGTTAAAAGAGGCCCTGCATTGAACAACTACAGGGGAAAATAATTTGAAACAACATGACTTACATAGCCTCCGCCAATATCTGCCAGGAAAGGGAACTTGGAAATAATAGCCCTGCAAACATCCTGCCGCTGATCTGGTGTTGGAGAACTGAAATGAAAATAAAATTGTTTAAAGAGTCATTGTCAACCACAATGCATTTGTTTTTCCTTTAGAAGTGACAAATAGCAACAAATGACAAGTTAAAATGAGCAAGTACACCATTTGCCCTTCATTAAACAAAAAAAAGAATGTCATTAAGAGAATTTAAAATCTTCGGAAATACAAGTCTGAATCTGAACAGATGTGCAAATCAATAGGCGTAAAAGGATATTCAATATCAGCAATTTGCGCGGTCATGCATTAAAACTGAAAGCCATTAATCAAATATGTAAATTCAATAAGAATACGAAGAATGCAAAATACGTTTTCGTTTGAATAGAAGGAACGTTCAATTAGAGAATAATGTAATTTCAGCAATAACATAGGTTTATTGACAAGCAGTCCTATTAACACGCAAACACATAATATGCAAACTAGTGTTCCAATCGAAATTGTACTCAATATTGTTAGTCTAGGCATGTCTATGCACATAATTTTACTGCACACATGTACAGTGTACACACGCTAAACATAGTTTTAACCATTAATGTTCTCCCTGGCAAGGCATCGTGGAATATAGGTCTGCATATGCCGGAACCAAGCTGCACATTTGGGAATTGTAATTGATCTGATATTTCTTTCAACAGCTTGAACGAGCAATTGTTTTCTGTATTCACCAAGAGGAAGGTGGGCATTTCTTGCCGTATTTCTGTCGGCAAAGCGTTCTTGTATAGCAGGGCATGAAATATCTGCTTTAATGCTGGCCTTCAGGCAGCTTATGGTTTGCTCAACAATATTTAGGAATGGTGAGTATGGTGGCAATATACGCAGATGTACGTTGTTTCTTGACTGGTCAGGTCGGCGATGTGCTGGTGCTCCATCGAAAATGAGATATTGAGTTTCATTTTCATCAAGGTGGTAGCAGTACCTGCGAGAAACTCAGTGAAGGATTCTCTGGTCATCCCACCCATCTGAATGGTGTGATGCACCAAACCAAAGACTTGAGACACCGCCAGGCAAATGGTAATGTTGCGTCCCTTTCGTCCGCACACTTGGTGATAAGCGCACTCTCCAACGCGAGCCCGTCCTTGACTTCTGGCTGTCCAGATATTGAAACCACATTCGTCGATGAAGACAGGATGATGAATATTCTCCTCTTCTAAGAACCAGTTAGCATATTTGTGGCGTCCTTCAATTACATCCGGCCTGTAATGATCAGCCGGAAGTATTTGCGATAATTTTAACAAGTACAGCATTCCATCCAAATGTTTACCAATAGTTCTTTCATGAACTTGTGGCTTCTGAGGGATTCGACGTTGTAATTCTGTATTTATGGCCCGTAGTGACAAAGTACAATCTTCATCTACAATTCTTTGAATACATCTTGTCATATCTGCATCAAATCGAACATTGAGGCATCCTCCACATGGTTGTTCTTCAATTCGTCCTTCGCGCAGATATCGAGTGATTATACTCCTGGCAGTTGAGCGATTTATTGCTAACGTATCAGCCAAAGCCAGATAGTTTAGATCCTGCTCTTCGAATGCTCTAACCAACCGTTCCTTGTCTTTTTGTGATATTCTCCGACGTTGTGCCATTCTGGCAGTACATATACTTCAACGTACAACAAACTCACAAAAATGTCTAAAGATGATGTTATACGAAACGATTTTTATCGACGATTCCCGATGCAAATGAAGTGCATAACCAGAAATTTGATTGGATCATTTGCCGGTTGTGCAACGCTTTCCTATGAGTATATTTGTGTTCATAGCAACCTTATTGAAAAAACATTATTCTCTAATTGAACGTTCCTTCTATTGAAGGAAGACGTCTTTTGTGCTTTCGAATGTTCTTTGTATTCTTATTGAATTTACATCTTTGATTAATGACTTTCAGTTTTAATGCATGACTGTGCAAATTGTTGATATTGAATATCCTTTTACGCCTATTGATTTGCACATAATGTGTTATTGAGATTCCGACTTGTATTTCCAAAGATTTTAAATTCTCTTAATGACATCCTTTTTACACTGGCCTGTAGGCCAAGTGTGTTAAATCCCTCTTTTTCTGTTTTTTCCGTACTCGAGAAATGGAGTTTGCGTTAGCTCATCGCAGGCTCACCTCGGTGTATATTAATAAGCTCGTATTTATGTACGTAATAGTAGACTCATGCTTGTTGTAATTTTTCGTTTATTAGCCCATACACTTGTACGCACACGCACAATTCCAAACTCCAATGGCGACTTTTCACAGAGTGATCAAACTATATTTTATACAGTTTCGTTGAATTTTCAAAGAATTGTGCCGGTTTCCTCTGGACATCCGTTATGTACTTGTGTTGATTTTCGTGTCGCACTCTGGACTTTCTTGCCTGTTGAATTAATGTTTTTCTTTTTGTATTAAATTAAACGACTAGAAACCCAAATTTCATAAATTTATACCCACGAAATTTATACAATATATTGGAATATAAACAAGGACAAACTCTCCTAATTCCTTTCGATAGTTTTAGTCAAATGTTGACAATATACCTTTAAATACATGTATTAAAATCCGCGCAGTACTAAGAATTAAGAGAATTTGTGTAGCGCTGGCGGCTGGGTGTGTACTGCGCGAAAAGCTTTGTTGTAGCTATACTAAAGATAAAGCGTGCCTTCAAAATACCAACAAGAACTAGAACCATTATTGTATGGTTCTCATTTGCTAGACTTGCCACAAGTCGACCTCGAAGAAACGCATTTCGTTCGAGGTCGACTTGTGGCAACTGGCAAGTCTACTCATTTGCCTAATACAATAACATTTAGTTTGACGCAAATTTTAATACAAGTATGGTATCATATTTCATAGTATAACAAACAATGTAAACTTGTCATACATTTTGCCGAACATCACTTTGGCCCCTTTGGACATATCTTTTTCGTAATAATATTATTGGGACCAGAATCGAAAACACTATTTATAGTGTTATTTTCAAGCTTGTGTCTTGGGATTTTCATCTTTTATTTCGGTATTTACAGAATATTTATATTTTTTAGCGTGGCGATCAAAACAACGCGCTGTTTAGGAAAAACCGGAAATCAATTCTGTAGATCAGCATGATTTGCATTTGCATCAATCGAGCCTATAAACGTGCGTGCGAGTAAAAACCAAATTCAAAACATGGCAAAACATGCACTGACAAAAGGTCAGCAAGTATCAGGTGTCACGTCATGCTGGGATTTCATAATACAATCGCGCGATAAAAACATGCATTTTTTGCCTAATATTCCTTCTTTCTCGCTTTGCATGTAACTTTCTTAAGAAGTACGCACGGATATATAAAGCTGAGAAATTGCACTCTCGCTTGCACACAGTGGATTTTGGAAAGAGTTGAAAAAGACCCTGTACTTTTGGCATTGAAGTTGCATGTTTTTGTCGCCGTCTATTAGAAAAATACCGTCGAGACGCCCGCAGGCTGCCTTTGAAGCGCTTGAACACCATTTTGCCATGCGCAATGTTAAAAAGTACGCGCGGATTCAAAAAGCATGGGTTCTTGTGATTATTTTGATAGGTGAATTGTTAATTTTGGCGCAATATTTGTTCTGTACTTTGGGGGTTGAAAATTTTAACTGTATGCGCAAATAGCGCAATGACTTCTAGTACAGCATTTGTATGGCATTGGATGCTTGCAGGATTCATTTTAGTATTTGTACTTTCTGGGATTGACGCAGCAAATGAATGGAATGACAACCAGAGAAAGAGCGATGAAAATAGTCGCTCGTATGGAAATCCGTTCTTCGTTGTGGAATTAAACAAGTAAGCAAGTATATTAATATGTATTAGTTTGCATATTTTATAAGCACTATATTCGGTTTGTTTGTGTTGTTTGCACGCTACTATATTAGAATAATGTGCGCAAAAAGTATTGAAATAAAGAATTGTTGATTTAATTTCTTTCAGCCGACTAATGAACGATTTGTTTAAGGCCACCTTAAAGAAGCATAAGGATAAAGGCGCTTATACATACAAGGCTGTTGTACTTGACCTAATAGAACAACTGTTCCGTCACTATAATGTTGGAACAGTCATTATCAATGAGAGAATAGTTGCTGATTTCAAAACCAAACTGTGGAGAATGGACAAGGAAATGTCAAAGGCCAAAGGAGGGAAACAGAAGCAAACTCTGTTGAAAAAATGGACCAATGGCAGGTTGTCGGTATGGGAAATGAAAATTTATTACAGTGAAGTGGACAACATTGGAACAAAGAGGGAAAATAACAAACTGAACTTACAAAAACGTAAACTTGAGAATGAACTTGATGAAATGGGTACCAAGGTTGCAAAGTTAGAGGCCCAAGTTGACAAGGAGCATAATTCTGCCAGTTTGTGCAAAAAAAAATTCAAAAGGCTTTGTCATAAAGTGATGAAAATGCAAAGGAAACAGGATGGGTCAAGGGGTCCAAATAAAGGGAAAAAATTTAATGAATATACAAAGAGGCATCAAGAAAGAGTCCGCAGGCAGCTGACGTCTGATTGTGAAAGAAGTTTGTCCTTTCTTGGTACATATGACTTTGTGGCGACAGAGGTTAAGGTATTTAATACCTCAACTGAAGAATATGAAGTTTTTAAATTGATAGAGTCAGACAATGTTCCTAGACCTGAAGAAGATGCTAACCTCCTGGACCACATCAACTTACTCCTGTACACCAAAGACAGGTTTGGCATTTCAAACCAAGCATACCATGAACTATCAATGGTTTGTAAGGAAATGCCAAGATCTTACAAAATTAAGGAAAGAATACAGGAAATCAATAAAAAGTGGAACTTGTTCAAAACACCTGGTGACTCAATTGGTGTACAACAAAGTATAAAATGTAGACTTCAGACAAGATTGAAAGTATTAATTGAAAATGGTCAAATGAAGCACTCCCCTCATAACAAATTAAGGGTGAAATTATCTGGTGATGGGACTAATGTTGGCAAACATTTGCATGTAATAAATGTAACTATTACGATTCTTGAAGAAGGATCACAAGCTATGTCAGCCGAGGGAAACCATCTGATTGCAGTTATCAAGGTACCAGAAAAATATGATCATCTGTTTGTTGCATTGGGTGATATCCGTAATGAAGTTGAAACACTTTTGCATATTTCTGTAGGACAAGAAATCTTCCATATTGAATGGTTTCTGGGTGGGGATTGGAAATTCTTGGCCTGTATATGTGGTCTTGGCGCTGCACATGCTACAACGCCATGTATCTGGTGTAAATGTCCTCTGTATGACCATTATGATGGCACAAAATCTTGGTCGCTTTTAGACTTGTCAAAAGGTGCTAGGACAATAGCAGAAATTCAGGAGCTTGTTACCAAAAAATGTCAGGCATCACTAAAATTCAATGTAAAGCATGCTCCTTTATTCCCTTCAATCCCCCTTGATCATGTCATTATTGACCCCTTGCATCTTTTTCTTCGAGTATGTGACAATCTGATCAATCTACTGATACTGCAGCTACGAAGAGAGGATGCAATTGACAAAAAGAAAGTTTTTAATGACGGAATACTGGACAGAAGCAAATATAAACATGTGGCAGGTTGGGAGAAGTACCTGAATGAAACATTGAACATCTCGTTCAATTGGTTTATTTGTAAAGAAAGCAGGAAACTAAAGTGGAGAGATTTAACAGGTCCAGAAAAACTCCAACTCTTTAGAAACATAAAAATTGACAAGGTACTACCCACATTTGAAGATGCCGGTAAAATTGAACTCCTGTGGAAAAACTTTTTGATCATAGCAGAGTTGTTAAGTTCATCCAATCAACATGAGATTAATGTCGAGGAATTTTCAATGAAAACTAAATCATGGCTGGAACTTTTTCTTACTCTCTACCACACAAAGCATGTTACACCATATATGCATGCTTTGGTATGGCATGTTCCTGAATTTTTAAGTTTATATGGCACAATATGTCCCTTCACACAACAAGGACTTGAAAAATTAAATGACAAGACCACAAAGGACTTTTTTAGGTCTACAAATCAAAGAGGAATTGACGCTCTATTCCAGCTTGTTCAGAAAAGGAATCGAATGGAACATTTGGAGGATATGGGCTTCAGGCGACAAGCATATTCCCAAAGTTGTAGTAATTGCTTGCAAAAGAACCACAACATAAAGACATGTATTGTTGGATGTGATACATGCCACCACAAACCATGTTGCTCTCCTGATCATTTAAAGAAGGTTGAAGGAAAATGGATGAAAGTTTGCAGAAATGATTAAATAGGGCTTATCTTATAAAAACAATTTATCATTGTACACATGGGCACTGGCTTTTTTAAAGACACACTGTATATTATTTATAGTCATCACTAGAAGCGTTCCAAAAAATATTGATCAAGCAATACATTTGATTAATTGTTCATGAATTTGAAACGTTCCATAAGAAGTTCATAACTTCTTGTTTCATTGACCAATCAAAATTGCTCAAAAATAAAATTGGCTAAACTTGAATGAGCTTGCTAAATTCTTGAGGAATTAGTCACATAATTATTGCTTGGAATGCTTCAAGTTAATGGATCTAAGAAAGGGCAAGCAATTGTGCTACGATTTGTAAATAGGTGCTTGAACCTATATTTAATTTTCTTAGACAATTGTGGGGGTATTAAATAGAAATACACAATGTTGATTTGATATTTTATTATCTTTCCCCAAAGGCAAAGAGGCTTTTCAAAGACTAATATTTACAGTTGTACCTTGAATTTTTTATAGATATTAATATTTCCACTGTCCATTTCTATACGCACTTCTGACCCCATCCCCTCTGACAAAAGTAAATACAAGAACCAATTCATTTTCTATCTGCTTCTCAAACAAAGTCCCACCAATGTCAACAAATTCTTTGATGAAGGACTTCTTGTGAGTCCAAAACTGAATTGTCCCCTTTATAACATAGCAAAAGTCACCATTCGCATTTAAAATCCTTTCTGACCATTTATTGCCGAACAATTTGGTTAACTCTGGATCCACTGGAGAATCTATACAATGCACATGGCGGCCTCTAATATCTTTCACGACACCGATATTCTTAAACCAATGATTGAAAATGTCTGCTTCAATTTCTTGCTCAATCCTGACTTCTGGAGATTCTCGCTTGGTAGAAAATAACGACAATTTAATTTTCCTACTTAAGCGGTCGCAAAACAACGCTGCTCGGTCTTCTAAAGATTCGCCTGTTGGAATAAAACTCTGTAAAACACGTCCAAGTGCCCCCTCAGCCACCAGTTCTTCGCACGATCTCCATTCATCGTCAGTCTCTGGGTATCCTACATAGTGAACTTTCACTTTATTCCCGCTTTTGTCCCGCGAAACAATCTAAAATCAATAGAAATTTATGAACTTAAATAATACGCTTCATGCAAATATTTTATACATACTCACATTACAGACTTAATTTGCATATGAAAAGCGCAACATAAATAACACGTACTAACCTCAATGGGATAAAACATTTTCTTCTCTACTTTTCCAATATCCTTCTGGACTTTTTTAGCGCGTTCTAAGGGCACTCCATCTTCTACAACTTTATAAAATCCTTCTTCTGGTCGACGTCGCTTCCCTTCGGCCGCCATATTTTATATTATTATGACGGCTCAAATGAAATATGAAACCACGAAACTGACAAAAATAACAACTGCGCGTGCGCAGGGCCTAAGACGCAAATGTCCAATTTAATACGCTCATGTTTTGGCATGAATTTGAAAAATTCAAAATAAATATTACTACTCTGTGCCGTATTCAAACGAAACTTTGTACATGAAAGCGCTTGAATACAAGATGTATTTTACTCACATTAACTCTAAGCAAATTCTGAAGAGTTACTAGGGTGCATTGCCTGTTAATGGGTTAATAAGAGACCAATGTCAGATGTGTTTGTTGACCCATGTACTGGCAGTACTCTGCCACTCACAAGTAAAATCGTCTGGCGTTACAGTGTAAATTGGTCTGGCATTAGCCAGAGTTAATACTAAATTGCATTGTCAGCTAATAGGTTAATAGACCTTAATGTCCACTTTTGACCCAATGGCTCGATTTTCATGTTGGCTATTTACTCGTATTCTGTGCACACAATTTAAGAATGAGTTTGTGAACGTGCTTAAATGATAAACGAGAAGGAAACGTTGGGGATAAATAATATAACCGAGAATTGTCTAGAAGTATAAATTTTTGCATTCAGTTCATACACCATAAAGGCAGCACTTTCCTTGCGATAGTAACTCCTAGTAATAGATTTGCACTATTACGTCTCCCGAAAAGGTCTTTTATTTTTTTAAAAAGTCCATAAAATTTGCTTGCTGTTTGAGATTTGTATTCCTGACTTTTGCACCATAAGCATGTATCTCGTTATTTTCAGGCCACTGTGAATGCCTGAGCAGGCGTTCTGTTTAATGAAGGGCAAATGGTGTATAACCATACGATGGTAGTAATATATTATGGATTGAAAGCCGAAACATCTATTATTCCACGATTAAAATGGCCACTAAGCAGGTTTGGGTGCACAATGCATTGTGGTTGACAATGTCTCTTTAACTCTCTATCACAGAGGAATATACAGATGTCTCACTTCAGGTTAATTTAACATAAGGGATTTTTTCTGTCTGCCATGTTCTTAGCCAGTCCGGTAAGATTGAAATTTAATGTTCCAGGAGGGTGAATGTCTGTCTTTACCGGACAGGCTAAGAACATGGCTGCCAGCTATTTTTGTAAAAACTACCTTACGGTTTACCAGAAAGAAGTGAGACCTTTGTATGTACCTACTCTGTGGCTCTATCGTATGATGATCACATTTAAGAAATATAAAACATTTTCCATGTTGATATAAAGTTTATATATCAACACAAGTAGAAGTTGGAAAAACAAGAAATTGTGTGAAAACATGATTAAAATCATCTGGCATTTAATAGACAGAGTAAATACTCAAGTAGGGGCCATATGAGGGTACACTAAACATCAATATAATATACATACATGGTGAATAGACATATCCTGTCATAAATACTCTGAATAAATTTTACTCGAACAGGCTTCGGTAGATTATCTCTCTTGCACCACAGGTGGAAATCTCTCAGGGAGGTTAAATAGTGTTTGCCATGTTTCTCTTGAGGGACTTTGGCGTTAAAAAAATAAAGTTAATTAACACCTATTACGTCCAAGACTCTTGCCTTGACAAGCACGATAGTCTGGCATTTGACAGAGTAAATACAACAGCAAGGAGCCAAAGATTTGATTATTTTGCACCAGGGATGGATTTATGGGGGGGGGGAGGTGCAGGGGCACCCCCTAGCACTGATCAAAAGGGATATGGTGTTATTTTCCCTACCTAGTACAAGGCAATAACATGATGATAAGTGAATAACAATTCAATGCAGTATGCAACATAACTTTTGTTTTTTCATGGCCATGCAGTGCCAATGACTGACACCCATGGTTTTGTTAAATATTTTCAAGCTATTTTGAGTAATTTCAACACTACAGGAAGTGACCAGCCCTTCAGGAATCTGTTTGAAGTCCTGGCTAATAATAATTGGGTATGGCTAATACTGTTTTGCTCTACCGAGGCTCAACCTGCTATTAAGTGATGAGCAAAGTGAGCATGCAAACAATTAAAAGGTCGAAGCTTCAAGGGAGCTGCAAGTTAAGTAGTGGGCAAATGCTTGCAAGCTTTGTCTATTTGGTGTTTATTATCCAAGTACAAGACCAGGCTAAAATGGTAATCTGATTAACTTTGGTCATAAAACAACGTAGCACACTAGACCAAACAGCGAGCATACAAGAAGAACAACATCTTTAATTATGCATGCACTTATATAGTCTAGCCCTAATTATATATACAACATAATGAATATATTACATCTTCTATTAAAACCCCGGGTTGGTGGTAAGAAGACATTTTCAGAATCTCTGAACCCAGTTCCTAGTACAGATTATTTAATATCTTCACAACATTTAGTTAGAATTAATACATTGTGCTGATATTAATTTGTGTCATAATTCAGACTTATTTCCAAGTCAAACTGAACTGTTCAAGTTTAATATTATACTATGTAAAAGCCACTCAACCATCAAAGTTTTCTCTGTTTGTGTCATGTTTACTTTTTAAATATTTTAAAATTTATAACAAATTCCTGACTGTGGTTCAGTGATTCTGAAAATGTTTTCTTACCACCAACCAGGGCTTTTAATAGAAGCTGCCTACCATTGTGATTTACCACCTTCTAACTTACTACCTGATTCCAATTCTGTAATCCTTGCCTGTGCCAACTCCTACTGGAAATCAGTTCTGATTTTAATATCTGATGAGGTAGCTTAAGCCCCGTTTAAATAGGGGTGGGCGATATTAAAAAAATCATCTCACGATTATCGTCAAGGAAATTATCACGATATTCGATAATATCGCGATAAATGCAGTAAAAACAATGACCACATTTTTCAATCTTAATTAATATCAAAGCATAGTAATCTTATATGTCATCGTATAAAAAACAAGTAAAACAACAAATTAAATTAATATGAAAGTTTTTCTAGTCTAATAGGGAGCTTAAGGTACACCAAATCTACAATGCGGATGTGACGAAAAACTGCCGCTATTATCACAGTTTCACTTCAGTACTTCACGGGTAAAAACTGTGGGTTGTTGTTGGTAAACAAAGCCAGGGACACGTGAAAAACAAAGTAAAACTAGTCTCCAGTTACTAGCGACTGTTTTTTAGTCACATCAGCATCGCTGATCAGCGTTCAACGACAGTCTCAAGTGTTGGCTGCATACCTTGACTCCTTGATGCTTTCTTTGTGTTCATATTTCCTTGATTTGCTTCTTTGTATGCATCGGGGTGTCGTTCACGAAGATGAGTAAACAAATTTGTGGTGTTGCCAGTTTTACATGGCACTGACTTGTAGCATATCCTGCAAATGGGCCGATGCTCTTGTGATGGTATTGATACGCCATGTTCGTCTGCCTCGATTCCGAAAAAATTCCATGCAGCGCTCTTTGTATTTTTCTTTTTAATAAGATTTGGTCGATTTGGTTCTGTTACTTCGGTGTCCATTCATGCAAAACGTTTTTATACGTTTGACAAACGTTTGCTGTGCCTCCGCTGCCACAAATGCCGTGGGCACACAGGGAAAGCAAAGCCTGCAATTTCACTGTTCAGCGGTTAATACATAATTATTAGCTTTTGTATCGTCTTATCGTATTCTTATTGACAGTTGTCGTGTTATAAAATTTGTATTTAATTCAAGAAATAGTTTTAATTCTTTTAAAAACTATATTTTCAAGGAATTGAAAGAATTTTTTAGGATTTTATAACAGCTATATACACATGCGAAGCAATATCACGATAGTCATCGAGCATGACGATAATTTCGATATATCGTTGCTCAAGTTTCTCCCTTCGATACGATAATCGTGATTGAAAATATCGCGATAAATCAAAATATCGAAATATCGCCCACCCCTACGTTTAAACGACAAGAATTTTGGGCACGGCACTCTTAAATTTAGGCACGGGTGCTACTATTTTTAATCGGCCCGCTTCGTTTACACAACAAATTTTAAGCGGGCCTATTCTCAAGTAAGCACCCCTGATCACAAAGAAAAGGTCCTCTTAAATTGCGAGCCCGAATGAAACAGTGTTAGCGGTTATAAATGCAAATATCAACTTTTGCGGGTTTTTTCAAACATGGCGAACAGAAATCATGAAGCGAAAGTTAAAATGGCTTTTGCTTGGTGTATGTACCTAAAGAAACAAAGACATGCGGTTCGAATGATGTACAAAGACAACGTTTTACCACGAATACCGTTTCATAAAATTAACAAACGCCTATCAGTTGCATTCTTTGAAACTGTACTAGCGTATTTGCATCGGCCACAAGAAAGAATTTTGTGGATGCACCCACGTTCGCTTATTTGGTTTGACATGGTCGATCAGACATACGACGAGTTGTGGTATGCAAATTTCCGAGTGACAAGGGAAACGTTTGTGTTTATTCTACACGAAGTTGAGGAAGATATATGTCGTAAACATACTTACATGCATGACCCTATTTCTGCAAAACGACGGCTGGCGCTAATATTATATTATTTAGCCTCCACGGCTGAGTATAGGACTGTTGCAAATCTGTTGGGTGTATCGAGATCTCTGACATGCCAGTGGGTCAAAGAAGTGTGCTGCACAATCATAAAGTGCTTTCCAAGGATGATCTCCTTCCCTAAGGGAGACGACCTCGTTGAAGTTCTTGAAAGCTACGAACAAAAATGGGGGTTCCCGATGTGTGCTGGCGCAATAGATGGCACGCACATACCAATACTTGCACCAGTTGAAAGCCAGGTAGAATATGTGAACCGTAAAGGTTTTCATAGTATTATCATGCAAGCAGTCACCGATTGCAATTATCTTTTTCGAGATGTGGTCATTGGATGGCCTGGAAGCGTCCATAAAGCGCGAGTTCTCTCCAACTCTGCAATTTCAAAAGTGGAAATGAAAAACACCTTTTTCCTGCTCGTCTCGTAAAGGAAATTGGAGGAGTCGATCCTGCTTACGGATCCGGATCCTCAGGGCAATCCTGCTTACCCTCTATTGCCATGGTTGCTGAAGGGATATCCCAGAAACAATGCTTCAGAAATGGAAAAAAGGTTTAACTACAACCTTAGCCGAGCAAGAATGATGATCGAGAACACGTTTGGAAGATGGAAGGGAAGGTTTGTCAGGTTTGGTATGCGAGTAGATATGGAAGTATCCTCTCTAGTTAACGTTGTACACGCATCGTGTATTTTACATAATATGTGTGAACTTCAGAAAAACAACTTTGTGCCTGACTGGGAGGTGGTGGGGGCTATTGAAGAGTTGAATGAGTCAGAAGATGAGATTGAGGCGGCACAAGATGCTGACAATATCTGCAGTGTTCGGACAGAGCACTTTGCTTGAGAACATAACGTTTTAAAATTTTACTGATACTTTTGCTAGAGCATGAGCTCTAGCTATACAATCAAATATGAACGAGAACTATGTTACATACACCACACTAAACTGTGAATAACATAGTGATTGTAATTCGAATATAAAGGTCTTCATATCTATGTCTAATTATCTTTCAAAGTACTTTTATTGCCAATCTCTTTTAACTCAAAGTTTAACAAACATTCGACTCATGTTCTACTTATTGTAAATAAATAAAAACAAGTGCATATTAATACAATAATTTTTTCAACAATTTAAACCATTTTCAATGTTTCTTTAACCTTAACAAAAGTGTTCTTTGACTTGATTGTTACAACTTGAAATAAGTTGCACAATCATGGGTTGGGTATTCGTTTAAGCTGTGATCACTGCTATCACTTGAGTGTGAATTGAATTGAATGGAGTACTGTAGCCAATGGGATTATTGAATACTTGATAACCTGTTGTCACAGCAGAAGGTTGTTGTGGTGACAATATCATATGTAGCATGTTTGTGATGTTACTCTGAGTGCATATCCACACCGGGCGAGCTTGAAAAATATGCCCGGCCACGGTGGGATTCGAACCTACGACCTTTGGAATACTAGCCCAATGCTCTTCCAACTGAGCTACGCAGTCAGGACGGTTCGAGTAAGTGATATTTCGGAACAGTATCTAGTTCCTTCAATACCAATGTATTCTAGTAATATGAATTTTTCTGTGTTGGTGTTGTGTACTCAGGTGAATAATAATGGGCTAGTATTCCAAAGGACGTAGGTTCGAATCCCACCGTGGCCGGGCATATTTTTCAAGCTCGCCCGGTGTGGATATGCACTCAGAGTAACATCACAAACATATTATTCACCTGAGTACACAACACCAACACAGAAAAATTCATATTAGTAAGAACACATTGGTATAGAAGGAACTAGATACTGTTCCGAAATATCACTTACTCGAACCGTCCTGACCGCGTAGCTCAGTTGGAAGAGCATTGGGCTAGTATTCCAAAGGTCGTAGGTTCGAATCCCACCGTGGCCGGGCATATTTTTCAAGCTCGCCCGGTGTGGATATGCACTCAGAGTAACATCACAAACATATTATTCACCTGAGTACACAACACCAACACAGAAAAATTCATACGTAGCATGTTAAGCTCATGCATTCTCTCTTCCTTCCTTCGCTCATTTTCCAACTTTAATTGCTCCAATCTAAATTTGTGTTTCAATTTGGCTCGGTCATCTTCGAGTTTCTGATATCTAAAAGCCCAAAAAGACTTATAGTGATGGCATAAATGACAGTTTCTAGATCCTTGTTGCTCATTTGCGTTTACTTAATTTTGAGGTTTTGCACATATAGGCATACCGAAATTTAGTTCTACCTTTCAAATTCACTTGCTGATGAGTCCTTAAATTTCTCAAAGACAATTTCCAGAAATTTTTCAACATTGCGTTTCTTTTTTTTTTGTTCATAGGCATTTTTAACTCTTTTTCCTGGTTCAATCTTCTCTTCTTGCATGACATTTTCTCACTTGATATTTTCTTGTTCGATGTTTTCTCTTTGTTTGTGACTGCATCAGTTACTTTCTTTTCACATGTAGATGAATCGTCATCATTTCCACTGTTATCTTTATCATCTCCTTTAAAAACATGAACATACATACAGTGGAGGCGGGAAGGTTTTTACTCGTTGACAGGCAAAATCATCTGGGATTAGACATTGTAAATAAACCTGACATTATATTAAAAAATAAAGTAGGGAGATTACATCTTAAAGGGGTTAACTTACTACAAATTTTGGTTGCCTGTTTGTCACTCATTGACACACAATTTGGGCAACAAAATTCATCCTCCTCTGAAAACACACTAACTGATCCACCTTCGGATATATGAACTCCAGACGATCTTATTTCTTGCTCATAATCACAGGTTGGACACTTAAAAAGACTAGTTGATTTATTATGCATTGGTTTATCCATATCTTACTTATGGGAATCTAGTATGGGGTAATACGTACCCAACAAGGCTACAGAAAATACAGAATATACAGAATATACAGAAAAAAATTATCAGATTGATAAGTTTTAAATCGTATCTTGAACACACTGAGCCATTGTTTCAGAACTTAAAGATCTTGAATATCTTTAAGATCAATGACTATTTAAGTTGTTTATTTATGTACCGGTTTAAACGTCTACAAAACTTACCTGAATATTTTAATGGCTACTTCGCACAGAACAATGAAGTGCATCATTACAATACTCGAAATGCTAACAAATTTCATGTAAATTTTAGTAGAACAAATTATGCAAAACATTCTATTGTTAACAAGGGAGTTAAGATATGGAATTCACTCGATAATGAAATTAGCAGTATTATATTTTATTGTACTTTTAAGAAAAAGTCAAAATTATTTTTCTTGTAAAATATACTTTAATTGTTATTATCTGTAAACTTTGTTCAATTAGCTCTTTATATTACTTTTACTTTAAAATTTTCCTTACTTTATACTTGTATTTGTAAATATTCCTATATTCTTTCGACATTATATGATTAACTTACCATATAAAACAATTGTAAAAATATTATAGAACTAGGGACCTTTGAACAAAAAGCCTGAAAGGGTTTCATGAAGGCTCCTAGCCTGTCATATTTTATTGTATACTTTAGATTGTAAATATTAACTTTCTTTTTCATATGGGCAAATAAAATTCAAAAATTCAAAAAAAGTTTCTCCTGCACCATACTTTCCAACCATATTATCAACTAGAAATATAGAAAACTTATAAGTCTGATTATATTGTATTACAATGTTGATTGTTGAATGACTTTGGGGAATGCTGATGTAAAAACTAGGTCCACACAATACATTAATCTCATTTTATGTATTTGGTAGTATAAATTACTACACACATGTGCAGTATACTAGATATAGAGATTACGTCATGGTTGACGAGTGCGTACGATTTTTATTCACGAGTTGTGAAAGATTACTAACGAACGAGTGAGCGCAGCGAACGAGTGAGTTAGTAATCTTTCACAACGAGTGAATAAAAATCGTACAAACGAGTCAACCATGACGTAATTTGTTTATTATATATATAATGAACCGTGATAAATCGACAAAAAGGACTTTATAACGGTGGCCAATTGATAACAAAGTCAATCGACTTGAATGGTCCAAGGACAAATCAAATGTTTTTACAACATTTATTAGTTTAACATATGAAAAAGTGAAAACAATCATCCTAACAAATTAACAATCAACATCGAGATCAACATATACAGCTATGAAGATCTAATATAGCCAAAAGGAAGCCATTTGACAACTCAACACATAAAAATACATAATTAGACAAGTTGTTGCCACCTATACCGGTGGCTATAAAAACTGTATAAACTGTTTCAAAAAATTGTAGTTCAATCTGACTCAGAATCGCTCAGAAGTTTTAAACGTTTGTATGTTTTTGGTGGGCTATCCACATTTGTTATAGATAGTGTTGGAGACTGCTTGAGAGTATTTATTGATATATTTATACTCCCTCCACTTATCGTTGCGTTCGAAAACAGCGCCGGCATAGCATGTTCTTGGACATTGACATTGTGTTCGCTTGTCGTTTTCTGTCTGTTCGTCGACGAGTGAACTTCAACCCCTGAGTTTCCAGTGGTCAAGTTAGACAAATGACTCAGCTTTCCAGTGGCAACTGAACTGAGAGTTCTCGACATTTCCATTTGCTGTGACTCGTTGACAGTGGAATAATGAGTAACACTCTGCAGGTTCTTGTGGCCCGACAGTTGAATAATGTCTGTTGGTGGAAAGTTTTGGTTTACCAAGGCCTGCATCATTGTTTTCCTTCCGCTGTGGTTGGTAAATTTGGTAGTAAGTCCAGCTTTCGCAGCCATGTTCTTCATTATCGAATTTAGTTTATTAACCCCGGCGGGGGCTTTTTTGAACCAAGCTTTACATGAAACGGATTCAGGTTTCTTTAAATTGTTTACAGCAAGATAAAATGGGCTATCGTCGCTGTTGATTTCTGCCGGATGTTTTTCCGCAAAAAGTTTGTACGCAGCAATAGGATCTCTTTTATTTCCTGGTACGGAAAACATTTTTGGAGTTACTTTTCGCACATCTCTGGTGTTTTCCCCCGAGCGTGTTTTCGTTTGCCTTTCGTTGTATTTCAAATATTCCTCGCCAGAGACCGTTTTATGTAATTTCACGTCGCCCCAAGTCATATCGCGATGCTCTTTACAGCCACGTAATCCAAAGTGTATTGTATTGTTGAACCAAAGAGTGTTCAGTAAAGCATCGGGACTGGATGTGCCCAGCAAGTCTTTTTCATACAAAACAGCTGTGTCGTCTTCGCTGAGAGCAGATGAAGCATTCGGTTTATTTCCTTTCCCCTGTCGTTTTAAATCCTTTTGTTTTGAAACCAAAGCTTTTCGAGTCTGTTCAAACTGTAGATCTTTCATGATACTTAAACCATAGTTTTTCTTTTTTAAATGTCTTTCGAAGCTGGCTACCATACCGCGCAGGGAATGTGGCTCGTAATCCTTATTTTGTTTTGTACGAACCTTAATAATAAACTCGCTCAGGTAAAGGTTTAATTCCGCAGAAGGAATGTCCTCAATGCTTCTAGTTTCATTCTTGCTACTAAGAAACTCATTTAATAATGATAGATTTTGTTCAGTTTTTCTCTTTGTGTTTTCATTTTCTTGTTGTTCGATGAATTCGTCGACAGAAATGTCAAGGTCTGCAAAACGGGAAGCCATGGCCGGTAATTGGCGGGAAATTCGATACTTTTTTTTCACATGTGAGGAACATCGTCTCAATTACGCAATGCGTCGTAGATGAGTTTTATCTTGGCACTGCCGAGTGCGAATATTACGGTATGTATATAATAAAGTCTACGAAGATACGAGAGCAAAGTCTACGAAGATACCAGTTTTATAAATATACCTGGTAAGTTATCGGTCTGTTTATTTTACATTTGAGACTAGTTGTTCAACGTCATATAGCCATTATGATTAATAAACAGAATTAGCTAAAGCATCTTGCTAACAGATCGCCAACACAAACGTGCATACAAAATTACAAATATGACATT